AAAAGAATGAATAAATAAGAATCAGAAAGGTTAAAGAACCATATATTTCCCAGGGATCCCATCAGTGCAGCTATGAGGTCTGGGGAAGTCACTCTCAGGTGTTGCAGTACCGCCTGGCTAGAAGGCGTAGAGGTATACAACGCCAGGTATTCAGGGAACAGAAAGAGAAGGAAGATATAGAGAGACGAGAAACTGCACAATGAAGAAAGACAAAAAGGGAAAAAGAGGGAAAAGAAAAGAAAACAAATTAAAAAAAAAAAAAAAGAACAAGAAAGGCCCCCCAAAAAAAACCAACGATAAAAGAAATGTCCTCAGGGATCCCTCTACACGTATGTGGAAGCCGAAGGGGAGTCTCCTTGCCATGCAGCTCTGCCTGGCCAAAAAGGGCTCCCAACTCAAGAAAAGGAAAAGAAAACAAACAAACAATTCAAAACAAACAAACAAACAAAAGCCCTGGGATCCCACCAGTGAGGTAGCCCAGACTGGGAAGCAGCTCCACACTCGAATGGAGTTCCACAGCCCCTCAGGAAGAAGCAAAGATGGTGCACGGAGCCAGGTACTCGAGCGAAAGGCGGGGAGGTGGCGAGAGGCAAGTAAGAAATTAAAAGAAGCAGAAAAAAAAAAGCAACACTAGCAGCCAACAAATGGCACTCAGAGGGCCAGCTAGTGCGGGCTGTTGTTTCTGGGCAAGAGACTGTGTCCATGGGAAGCAGAGGGGGCTGAGTGTGGGTTAAGAAGGGTAGATAGTGGGAAAGCATATATCACAAATTACCGGCACTCTGCAGCCCCTCAAGAAGAAGCAAAGATGGCGCACGGAGCGAGGTACTCGAGCGAAAGGAGGGGGTGGTGGCGAGAGGCAAGGAAGAAATCAAAAGAAGCGGAAAAAAGGAACACAAGCAGCCAACAAATGGCACTCAGAGAGCCGCCCGTTTGGGTGTGTAGAATCCAAGCAGCCAGTGTTTCCTGGTCAAGAGATTGTGGCCGCGGGAAGCAGAGGAGGCCGAGTCGGGGTGAGGAGGGGTGGGGGGTGGGAAAGCATATATCACAAATTACAGGTTGTTTTGTCTCCCGCTGGATGCTCCATGAGGCTGCTTTCTCGTACCCCGTTTGCTGGTCTCCGATAGGAGTCCAAGATGGCGGATCCGCGCTGAGTTAGCTGGTAGGGGACCTCTGCATGAATCTCTCCTCGCTCTCCATTCTCTGTCAGTTTTCTCACTCCATTTGGTGCCTGGCTGAGTTCTTTATCTCTTCATTTGATGTTTTAGGGTTTCAGAATTGTTTTATTCTCTGTTCAGCTTAGTTTTTCGGATCTTTGCTGTGGAGCGACGGCATGGTGTTTCTGCCTAGAGCGCAATTTTGCCGGAACTCTCCATCTCTTTCTTTTTTAAAATATATATAACTTATTTTCTTTTTCTTGTTGTTTAGAATATATATAGCAGAACACAGACCAACAATTTCTACATGTACAATTCAGTGACACTGATTACATTCTTCCAGGTGTACAGCCATTCTCACCCTCATTTTCTGAGTCGTTCCACCTCCATTAACATAAACTCACTGTCCCCTAAGCTTCCCATCTAATCTTTTGAGTTGATGTTGTCAATTTGATCCCATACAGATGGTTCTTAAAAGAACACAAGCTCAAGGCAGACATTCTTTACTAGCTAAGCTAAACTATTGTTTGGTTTAAAGAAGACTTGGGATATTTTTGGTTTAAGGTTTAAAAATTATCTCCATGTTGTATGGTTTCATTCATATGAAATATACAGGATATATAAATCCGTAGAGACAGAACTCAGATTGGGTGATTGCCAGGAACTGGCGGAAGGGGACAATAGAAAGAAACTGTTGAATAGGTAAGGGGTTTTACTTTGGAGTGATGGAAATGTTTTGAAACTAGGTAAAAGGGGTGGTTGCACAGCATTGTAAATAAACTAAATACCATTGAATTGTTTACTTAAAAATGGTTAATTGTATGTTTTGTGACTTTCACCTCAAATTATTTTGTAATACACAAGATATATTTATAATCAATATATATATTGGATAAAAATTATTCTGATAAAAAACCTAAAAATAAAGTAATTTAACTTGAATAAAAAAAAAAAAAATCTCAGGGCAATAATTTCAGGGGTTCATCCAGCATCCATGGCTACAGAAAGTCTGGATTCCATGAAAATTTGAACTTATGTTCTTCATTTTCCCCCTTTTGATCAAGATTCTTCTATAGGAACTTTGATTTCATATGATAAAAAATCAGATTCTTGACCTCTGTTTCACAAGTTAAATTTTACATTACTAACTTCAACTTCATTAAGATAAACACTGGAAATGAAAATTACCTATCTGAAGGAAAAAGAAAGTAATAGAAAATGCTTCGTAAAAGTATAAAGGAAAGACATGTTTAAGTTTTTAAACTAGAGACACCAGTATAGTTCACAGCAACAAACACAAAAAATTGCCCAATATGCATGAACAGTTTTAGTGTAATATACCTTTATTTGTAAAAATAAATTCCCAGGACGATAAGAAAAGGGATAAAGTATCTTCTCAGAGTTTAAATACATTTCATACATCAAACCTTGTCTGAATCTGATTTATCTAGCTTCATTTTTTATTTACTTAATAAATAAATAAATTTAATAAATAAATAATGTCAATACCTTCAGGATGTGCCTTACTGCCTCCCCAGGGACCTTTATATCACTAGCTAAAGCCTGAACAACAAGGAGGAAAAAAGAATGTATACCTGCTATTATGGCTGAAATCCAAAATAAATTCTGCCTTTCTATTTTTACCTTGATTTAAGACTGCTGCATTGACTGATTGTTTGCCCAAATCCTCTTGAAGGTCGGAAGATAACTGAAAATTTTCAATATTATATATTGTGCTTACCGGCTCAGTTATACTAAAGTGATTATGAGAATAATATCCTACAGTACTCCTAAAGCTAGGACCTATTTGTCTTTTTCTTCTAGGAAAATTACTGGAAAAGTAACTTTTTTTGGTAAGGTCTCATTTGTAAAGAATTTCATATATTTAAGTATCTGGAAAATTATATTCTCCTTCTTCATCTTATTTAATTTAAACAAGTCCTTAAAAAGCTCAGCACACTCTTCTATTAAAGATATATCGATTTTAAATATAATGTTTTATGAATGTCATTTTTGCTGTAAGCACTTACTTTCTTCAGTACTAATTTTCAAAGAAAATGTTTCTAAATGTAGGTAATGTCACACTCCTAAGTTCAACAAAATAACTAGTTAAACAACATGCTTATTTAATAACAGTTAATATACACACACTGACACATACACACACACGTATACACACTTACATTATGTTTACCACACACCAGGTAAATGTGAACTCATTTTATTTTCCCAGCAACACTACAAAATAGAAGCTCTTATCAACCTCATTTCACAGATGAGGAAACAGAGGAACAGAAGTCCAGTGACTTGCCCAAGGTCACAAAGTGAGCAAGTGCTGGATCATAGATTCAAACCGAACAGTCTGACTTCAGAGCCCAGGACAAACGCCATATATTTAGTTTGTCAGGTGGCCCAAACCAGCAAACACAAAATTGTGCTGCTCAGGAGATAAGCCGTAACATAAAGGAACACAAAAGCAAGATACAAATGTGCACATGTAGGATGACAGCAATTATGTTTTTAAAAATGCATAGAAATGAGACCATAAAGAAATATACCAAAATGTTAACATTTACCACTGGGCAGTGGTTAATACTTTTTTCTCTCCTAATACCTTTGCACTTTAAAAATTTGAAAAGTAAGATTTTTCTTTTGCAATCAGACAAGAAAAAGAAAAGTGCAAAAGCAGGAAGTTTGACGCACTTCAGGAGTGCTCCCTCTTGTCAAGATTGACTACTTACTACCAATGTAAAATGAGGCCTTTGAATAAAAGATCACTGAAGACTACAACTATTTATTCTAAAACATCTTAATAGAACTCCCTATTGCTCCACAGTGCCAGCAGAAATATGTATATAGTCTGACTTCAAAAGGCATTACTTAAAACAAACAAAGAAAAAAATAAAGAAGGAAAACACTTAGTAGAAATATTATATAGCACAACTTTGAAACATTAAAAAAAAAGGTTTTAAATTACTGATAGGTGATTACTTAAGACAGTAAAAGCAGAGTAGATAGAACGTGTTTCCCAAAAAGCCTTAACTAAAAAACATTTCCTTACATACTTAAGTTTCCCAGAGAAAACCATGAGATTCTGTATGCAAATACATCACTGTATGTGCTATTAAGCCAAGAATTACTTGTTCCATATTACATCCCTACACATAAAATTTCTGAAACAATTTTATGTGTTCTCTCCAGAACTTGAAACCTTTATTTCAATCACCACCTACAATTAACTGCCCAGCATTGCTTTCCTGCGATTTAAATAAAAGAGGATTTTATCTTATCCATCATTTGTGAACCTGAGACAAACATGATTCCGTCACCTTGTTCACAATTTACTTCATGAATTACCTAGAAATCACTTACATTTTTGTTACATGTATGACTTGGTTTTCTGTGTGTCTATCCTCATCTGTATATTGTCTTCAACTACATGCCCTTAGAGATTGGTGAATTGCTCTACAAGTATTTCACATAGCACAACAAATAAGAGGGCACTTAAATATTTCTTTGCTGATAATGACGAGAATTTTATAAAAAGCAGTTATCAGAAATAAAAGTAGTAATCTTTTTTACACTTCAGGGCCTTTTTTTCCCCATATACGTGTGTATACATATGTGTGCGTGTGTGTGTGTATTTTTTTTTTTTTTAATTTCTAGGAAATCAAATATACCCATTTTATTTTTTATTCTATATTTTACACTTGTTCTTACCAGTATCCATTTGCCAGACGTACACAGAGCCATCTGAACATCCCACCACCAGGTAATCATCAGAAGGCCTCCACTTGATTACTTGGATAGGGAAAAGGTGACGAGACGCCAGCATAATGCATTTTTTCTCTCGCAAACTTAGAAGTCCTACTGAGTGGTCACTGGCTACAGAGCAGATGCAGTGCTGCACTCTTGCCTGAAAAGAAAAATAAACCTTAATCATATTAAGATTAAAGGCAGATACAATGGATCCTGTCCTCAATACCTTAAACCAAAACTAATCATAGATTCAGTACTGCAGACAACCAACGATTGTGTTGAAATATATTCATTTCCTTATACTATGCACAAAACATGCAGTTCAATCATCACAACACCTAAAAGAAAGTACTAAATTAATCCTAGATCAAAAATGGAAAAGACGTGTTGGGAAATTTGCCGCTCAAATTTGAAAATGACCTTACTGAAATGATTGCTATATCTAAGCTGGCAAAGCAGGAAAAAATTGATCTGTTATTACGTGCTCTCTTTCTACAGTATGAACTTTCCTTTGTTTGCCCTACAGCTGCTTTCTGTGGTGCTGCTTTCTGTTTGTGACTGTCATTTAGATTCTTGCTCCTGCCTGCACCTTTGCTCAAAAACAATACCCCTGTGGGCCCTCTGCCACCACCATTTCTTAGGAGCCACAGATATTTTGCATTATCATAGATGAGCTTCCCCGTTTTCTCTCAGCTTCTGTCTGTAACATCAGCAGAGACACCACCTCAACTAACCACACAATTAAATATTCTGCTATGCATTTCTGCTCATCTCTAGTTTTTGCCCTTCAATTCCTTTTCAGAAAAAGATGGGTATAAATAATGAAGCAAAGACACAAAAGGATTTGCATTAGCAACAGAGAACTGAACTCATTCTCTAGAAAATTAAAGTCTTTATATTTTTGCAAGGCAATTTATAAGCAATTTAAAACTTTTTAGCAACTTATTTAGATTATGTTTCCAATTCACACTGAGGGAAACAGTATGAAAACAGCCATCTGAAATGCATGATTGTACATAGGGTAGCTACTTACTGAGGATGAGGCCCACTGCACTACATACATCCTATCCCTTCTGTGGAATCCAAAGAAGCTTCCCAAGTCTCACCCTGGTAAGCTCCTCTAGAGCAAAGAACTGTTTTTAGTTAAAGAACAGTATCTCACTGATTCCTCAAATGGAAAATATTAACAAGTGTAGGTGAAAAAAAAAGCTGACCAAACATGCTTGAGAAACACTGAAGTTATGATTGTTTTTAATCATAGAACCTCCAAGAGCCTTTAATGTGCTAATGTGAACATAATTATTTCTAGAAGAGGAATACAACAGCCTTCATTTCTAAGTTAGTTTGATCATACAATCTTATAAAATTGAGTTTTTGAGGAATACACTTTGGGGAAATCTGCTATAACTATATTTCCTTTTATGTTTTGGCTGCTAAGAAACTCAGGAGTGAAATTTTCTATTCACAGTAGTGTGGGATCTTGGGTACACATTTCTGAATGCGGACTCTCAGTGGTCTTGTTTATTTTCATCTCTCATTTTCTTTTCACCATGATTTAGCTTTATTTTTAAACTTGTTTTTATTTTAATAAACTGAATAATTTTTATTTTTATAAGTAATCGAAAACAATTTGAATGATGCAGGGCACTAATAAAACAAAGATAATAGTAAGAGTTAACTGTTAACTTTGTTCTTAAATTCAGGTGTTTTATTCTTTGTTAGCTTTATTGATACTTTTTGTTTTATAATAATTTAAACTGTATAATCAGCATAGCAGGTTCTTACTAATTTTAAAAGAGAACTAAGTTCAAAAAGATATCATAAACCTTTATTAAAACATCATATAAAATTTTCTTAAATAAGCATGTGTTAAGCTGACTTATTTCATTTTCCCTGATAAATCTTTGATCGAAATACCAAATGTGATTTCTCTCATATAAAAGACATATTAAAGAGACTTCCGGCAAGATGGCGCCCTAGGCAGAAACACCACGCCGTCCCTCCACAACAAAGATCCGAAAAACTAAGCCAAACAGAGAATCAACAATCCTGAAACCCTAGAACACCAAATGAAGAGATA